CCTCTTCCTATAGTGTTTTGCCGAGGATGTTTTGAAGAGATGGTTTTCTAGCTGCAAATTCTTTTAACTTTTGTTTATCGTGGAAGGTTTTAATTTCATCTTCCACCCTGAAGCTTAATTTCACTGGATAYACAATTCTTGGTTGGAACCCATTTTCTTTCAGCGTTTGAAAAATGTTGTTCCAGGATCTTCTAGCTTTTAGAGTCTGTGTTGAAAGATCAGCTGTTATCCTGATTGGTTTACCCCTAAATGTAATCTGCTTCCTTTCCATTCGGCGTCCCTAGGCTTCTAGGATTTGGGATTCTGTCTCATTCTTCAAGTCTGGTTTTCTCATTTTATTTTGTTGAACAGAATGCTCATTTTTTTGGTTTGGACTTCTATACCTTCCTGTATCCCAATGACTCTTAAGTTTGGTCTCTTTATGTTATGCCATATTTCTTGGATGTTCTGCTCATGGTTTCTTAACAGTCTCGCTGAGCTGTCTATGTTCTTTTCMAGTTGAAATACTTTGTCTTCATTGTATGATGTTCTATGTTCTAAGTGTTCTACTCTGCTGGTAGTACTCTCATTTGAGTTTTTAATTTAGTTTATTGCTTCCTGCATTTCTAGGATTTCTATTTGTTTGTTTTTTATAACCTCTATCTCCCTGTATAGTTGATATTTTGTTTCTTGGATTTGTTTATGTAATTCATTGTCGAAGTGATCTTTCACTGTCTGATTTTGCTGTCTAATGTCTTCCTTGAGACTCCAGATCATCTGAAGCATGTATATCCTGAATTCTTGATCTGACATTCCATCTGCTGCAGATATTACTTCTTCTAAAGTTGAGTTGACCTGCATTGCTTGTGGTCCTTTCTTTCCTTGTCTTTTCATATTGCTCGAGTTTCTTTCTGCTTGGTGAAACTGTTGTGTTATTGAATTTTCCCCCTATATATTTATAGTGCTCTTGTATAGTTGCAAAGTCTCCCTTTTGTGGAGAATGACAATGTTAACAGTTCTCAATATCAATAGTACATCATCTAAGCACACGTTTTCCTTATTACTACATTTATAGCTAGACTCTATGTCTACAAATGTTGGTTTCGATTATCGTTTACAAATATAGTCATTAGTTTCATGAAAGGCATACCGTTTCTGGTAGCTTGAAGAAAACTGAATTTCAGGTGTAGGATGTTATGTTTATGGGGGAAGGAGTGAGGGTATGGGGTTAATCCAACTTAGTTACTTTGTAGAGCTCTAACCAATAGATGGGTAATTTATGGAAGAATGTGTAGATTCAAATTCCTATCTGTATTTATAATATTACCCTACTTATGAATAGTAAAATTTAGGGGGTTGCAAGTGGGATAGAGGGAGTAAGAGGGAGGAAAACAAATAACAAGGAATGGAAGAGAAAAAAGAGCGGGAAAAAGAAAATACCAGAAAAAAGAAAAGAAATAAAAAGGGGGAAGGGAGGTGGGGCATATGCAATTTCTCTATAGTATATTATTCTGGTGATTCAGTTGTTAAAGGCCTTTTTCGTGCACAATTTTTGGTTTCACATATGTTGAGATTGCGAAGACCCGAGCGGGAAGGGTAGAGGAGACTGGGTGAATGGCTGAAAAGAGAGAGAGAAGAGAGAAAAAGAAAGAAAATAAGAAAAAAAATGTCTCTCAGAACTCTGTTTTCTTTTCTTCCAGTTGGAGGCGTTGTCTATTCCTAGCTTGAGTCTCTGGGTTCAGATGGTGGTGGTAGTCAGTGTGATAGGACTTGAGCTTCCACCTGTGGCCTCTCTACTCTTATTTTCTGAGATGTAAACAAGGTGCCTGATCTGCTGCAGAACCGCACTGGTAGCCAAGCCAGCCAACCGGTTGGTGGGTTTTCAGGGTTGGTGGGATTTTCCAAGATGAGTTCCATCAGTTTTTTTCATCAGGTGTTTGATGAGGTGGGGGTGTTGGGGAAACCTTATGTTTGTCAAGAGCTCGGTCAGGTGACCGCACGGGCTGGAGGTAGGGTTCCTCCTATAGTTGGAGTGGTCTGTCTATCACGCAGGTGAGCCACTGGGCCTGTTCTCCAGGTTGCAGGTCTGTCTACCGTGCAGGCGCAGGCGGCGGCTGKGCCACTCCTCCAATTGGGGTGATCTGTTTACAACGCAGGCGGYGGCTGGGCCCCTCTTCCAATAGGGGGGATCTGTCTACTGCGCTGGCGGGCTGCTGGGCCTATTCTCCAGGTGGCAGGTCTGCYTACCTTGCAGGCGCAGGTGGCGGCTATGCCCGTCCTCCAATTGGGGTGATCTGTCTACCACGCTGGCGGGCCGCTGGGCCCCTTCTCCGGGACACGCGTTCTGCCTACCTTGTGGGCGGCGGCTGGGGCCCTCCTCCAATATGGGGGATCTGTCTACCAGGCAGGCGGGCCGCTGGGCCTGTTCTCCAGGTCGCAGGTCTTTCTACTGTGCAGGCGTGGGCGGCGGCTGGGCCCTTCCTCCAATTGGGGTGATCTGTCTACCACGCTGGTGGGCTGCTGGTCCTGTTTTTCTCATTGACTTTTGATTGCAAAGTTTCTGCTGAGAAGTTTGATAATCTTTAGGTTTATCCTATCTGAAATTTCTTGAGATTCTTGGATTTGTATATTCATGTCTTCCTTAAATGTGGGAAGTTTTTGTATGTTATTTCTTCAAAGAGCTCTCTGCTCTTTATCTCTCATCTCTGAGACTTCCATGACACATAAAATGATCCGTTTGATAGTGTCCTGTAAGTCCTTAGGCTCTATTTACTTTTCTTCTTTTTTGCTCCTTTACAATTTCAGATGACTGATCTTCAAGACAGTGATTGTTTCTTCTGCCTGTTTAAATCTACTATTAATATTTCTGTAGCAAATTTTTCCATCTGATTATTATACTTTTCAGCTCTAAAATTTATATTTGGTTCTTTTTTTTAAATATTTCTAACTCTGTAGATATTCTTTGTTTATAGTTTCCCAGATTTCSTTAAGTTCTGTGTCCTTGTGTTTCTTCAGTTCTTTGATCATAATTGAAAGTTGTTTTAAAGTCATTTTTCTAGTAAATTCTGAGCCTGTTTTTTTAATGTTGGTTTCCTGAAGTTTTTTCACCTTAGAATGGACCATGTTTTTTGGTTTCTTTGTATGTATCTTTGTATGTATTATTTATCTTTTCTTAAAAATTGGGCATTTGAAAAGAGAGCTGCCTCTTAGTCTGCAGACTGGCTCTGTACTTAAGAGACCTTYATGAGGAAGCCCTGAATGAAGGCCTAAGGTCTTCTCAGCCTTCTTTTTGGCATGCATTATCCCTTGGCTTATGTTTGTGGGKTTTTTTTTYCCCCCTCAGTTCCCCCAGATGTGCAGCTGCTTGCTTGCCTACAAACAGCCAGGGGTCTTGCCAAGTTGCTGAACTGGGTTCAAACTTGTGATTCTCCTGCTGCAACCTCCTGAGTTGCTGGGATTACCACTATACCCAGGTTACAACCGCTTTTAATATGACTTAAATTTTTAAATATACCTCACCTACTTCTTTGTGCCATAGGTATTCTTTTTGTATTCATTTATCCTTAATCTCTTGGATCTCAGTTTTACAGGCTATAGTTCCGTGTAGCTCTTAGGAGTTATGGTGTCTACCCTTCCTTTCAGTAGTCCCCAGAGAGGTCAGAACTTGGTGTTCTCTGAGCTTCCTGGATCTATGGTGTTTGTATCATTAATTTTGGAAATTTCTCAGCTATTATTACTCAAAATATATCATATTACATATAATATGTATGTAATGTTATCTCTCCTTTTTTTCCCCTCTGGAAAAATAATAATCATCTGGCAGKTCTATTATGTTAATTCAAATACAGTATTTGAATTTGAAAATTTTTATATTTAGATATCTGTGTGCTCACTGATTTTACATTTTTATAATTTCTTTCCAGACTGTTCATTGCCCATATAAATACAACTTGCTTTTTGCTTATTRATCTTGTATTATGCTACTTTGGTAGATTTATATTGTTTGTATTATTCTGATTAAATTATTTGTATACATTAATGTTAGGCTACAATTGCAGAGGTAAAAAATTTTCAATAAGTTTTGATTAAACATACCATCTTAGGTCATGAAGAAAAATGAAGGTAAGCTAGTTTAAAAAAAAGGTAAATTTTATTTTCTGTTTATATACTTTTTTTGTGATTATTCTTCCCTAGTATTATATTCAAGAATGAAACATACTTAACCTTTTAAAATGAAAAATTTTTGAACATTTTAAGTTTATTTTTGTAATTTTTTTTTTTTTTTTTTAGGAGATGTGTCCCTCAAGAATCTTGAAGTCAAAGAAAATGCCCTGGTAGGTATTAACTAAAAATTTTTAATGTTAGTGCATTTGCTGTATTCTTCCTAATACAGCTTGCCATTCTAAATTATGTAAGTTTGAAAAAAATTTTTGGAAGTTATTTTTAAAATGTGAATTTTGTAAATCAAAGATTCAATTTCATTAAAAGCACAAACTGATATTGTGGCTCAGTGGTAGAATGCTTACCTAGTATGGGCAAGGCCCTGGTTTCAGACCCCAACACTGCCATAAATACATACATACTTGCATACATAAAAATTTATATTTTATTTATTCCCATACTGTTTTATTTTAGTGTTTCATTTGTCTTCTAGTTTTTTTTAGTTGTAGATGGACACAATACCTTCATTTTATTTGTTTATTTTTATGTGGTGCTGAGGATCGAACCCAGGACCTCGATAGGTGAGCGCTCTACCACTGAGCCACAATTGCAGCCCCCCCCCCCCGGGTTTTCACTTTTTTAAAACACCATTTTAATATGTTCAGTTCAGTGGCATGACTTATATTCACAATTTCATGCAGCCTTCATAGTACTATTTCCACAACTTTTCCTTCCCCAAGAGAAACTATAGCCATTAAATAGTAACTTCTGTTCCCTCTCCCCACAGACCCCAGGACTCTTTATACATTGCAAACTGAAGCTCTGTATTCATTAAAAAGTATTTTCCTAATCCCCTCTCACCACCCTGATACATTTGCCTATTCTAAATATAAATGGAATCATGTGATATTTGTCACTTACAAAGTGTCTTTATGGTTCATCATGGTGTAGCATGTATCAGACTCTCATTCCTTGTTATGGCTGAATAATATTTGTGTGTGTGTGTGTGTGTGTACATATACATACTGATCATTTGTTTATCCATTTAGCTATTGATGAACACATGGGTTGTTTCTGCCTTTTGGCTCTTGTGAATAATGCTACAATGATATTTGTGTACATGTGTTCATTCCAGATGGTGCTTTCAGCTTCTTTGAGTATATATTTAGGAGTAAAATTGCTGGGTCATATGAAAATTTTTATTTATATATATATATATTTTAGAGACCACCCAGGTTTTTTTCCATAGTAGTTGTACCATTTTCCATTCCCTCCKGCAGTGCACAGGATTTTAATTTCTCCAAATCCTTGTTGAGTGCCTTGGTGTATGCCTGCAACACAGAAGGCTAAGGCAGGAGGTTTGCAAGTTCTAAGCCAGCTTCAGAAATTTAGCAAGACTCTCAGCAACTTATTGAGACCCTGTCTCAAAAGTAAAAAGGACAGGGGAAATAGTTCAGTGGTATTAGGTTCAATCACCAGAACCAAAAAAAAAAAAAAAAAAAAAAAATTCTTCATATCCTTTAAATCTTCTAGCATTTGTTATTTCTGCTTTTATTTGATAACAGCCCTTCCAATAGATGTGAAATGATATATTATTATTTTGATTAATAATCAATTTAAATTAATAATGACTAATGATATTGAACCTCTTTTCATGTGCTTATTACCATTTGCGTATGTTTGTAGAAATGTCTGTTGAAGTCCTTTATCATTTTTTAATCAGGTTTTTGTTGTTGTTGCTGTGCTTGTTAAGTTTTTGGCAATCTATGTATTCTGCACATGGACCCTTAACAGATATTTTACCTCTTTCCAATGATTACCTTAACATTCTATTGACAGTATCCTTTGTTGTTCAAAAGTTTTTAATTTGATAAAGGTCAGTTCATCTGTTTTTTAAATTATGTGTGCTTTTGTTGTCTTATCCAGGAARTCATTGCCAAATCTAATGTCATGAAGATTTTTCCTTATATTTTCCTCTAAGCCGTTTATAGTGTTAGCTTTTACATTTAATTCTTTAATCTATTTTGAGTTAATTTTTTTGTATGGCATAAGACATATTTTTGCAACTAGGTATACAGTTTTCCTAACACCATTTATTATAAAGGCTGTTCTTTCTGACATTGAATGGGGAGAAATGTTTTTGAAACTTTTTTTTTTTTTTTTTTGCAAAATGTTTCTGGAAGCACAAACGGACAGTGAGCTTTCTCACCTTAAGAAAAAATAATACAAAAGTGTTAATTATCTCGTGTGGGTAGCTTTTTTGGGCAGCAGGAATGTGGAACCTTATACTACCTATTATGAAAAGAGAAGCCTCCATTAATTTTATTGACTTGAATAATATTTTAATTATATATTTGTAAATTTMAGTAAGTATTGAAGATAATGTGCAGGTAATTCAGATACCCTTTAAGCAATTATTGGAAGAAAAAAGTAGTTTTTGTTTTGAACTTTGTATTTATTAATGCTTTACATATTTATTTGTTGTTTTTTTTTTTCWTGGTAGAGTCAACTGGATGTGCCCTTTAAAGTTAAAGTTGGTCATATTGGTAAGTTGTGTTAGTGGAATGCCCTTCTTGCCCTGTAATGAGATATTGTAAATATTTCTGAGCAACTACTGAAAATAAAGTTATCATGTATTCTTGTTTAGGTAGGGTTTAGTTGTATGGCTTGAGATTTATGTACTTGATACCTTCATAATTTAGAAATGACACATTCTAGTAGGTTTTAAAATTGAGTTGGGGGCCACCAGGTACCTTAAGTGTCTTTGTTTTCTAGGTTTCTGAGTAATCACTGTTGCTGTATTCTGATTAGTACTGGATATATGATGTGAGGATGAGGGCTTGGATCATCCATGTACTGTCACCGGGAACCAGTCTGAAAACTTGTTTCTGCTCTGGATTTTTTTCCCTAGGTTTCCAGAATTTCCAGAAAATACTGTGTAATTTCTTGTTTTACATTTTTTATATTTAAAATTTTATTTTTAATTATTTATCTTATGTTATTTTTTTGTGGTGCTGGGAGCAAAGATAGGGTCTGGTATGTCCTAGGCAAGTGCTCAACCTCTAAGTTACTACCCCAGCCCCTTGTTTTTGTATTGATTTACCTGTATTTATAGTGCATACTTTAAATATATTGATTGAGTAGAAAACTGAGTGTAAAGTTTCAACATGTTTAATAAAAACTTGTCATAATTCTTATATTATGGTTTTATTTTAAATATTGTGGAAGATGATAAGTGTCTTTAGTTGGGACTTTGAAATTTTTGCTATATTGTTTTTGAAGTGGGATTCTATAATGTTATTGAATATGTATTGGTCCCATTGAGGAACTGGTATTTTGAAAGTTTACATAAATTATATTATGAAGGTTTTCACAGTTTTGTGTATTATAGTTGGTATTAGACCATATACCACAGAAAGTTTTCATCACCTTATATTGCCAAGACTTGAATTTTGTCCCATTCCTCCACCCATTTAAAGGCAGTTTAGCATAAGTAAAAGGGGGGGGGACGTCACCCATTATTTTGCCCCCTTACATTTTTTTTGGAGTTTTTGATTGTGTACATGTATATATTTTAAATACTTATAACCATGTTGTATTTATGTGTAATAAGGATTTCTTATAATCCAAGTTGACTTGAACTCATTTATTTTTTATGGTATCATAATAATCCTATGAATGCATATTTGGGTATGGTAAATAATCCCCATTAGTCCATTGTACAACAGGTAATATATTTAAGATAGCTTTTAAAAATTTCAGTAAGTCATTGAATTCTTAAAATAATTATTGTCATATTTTATTGTATATTAATTTAACCTCATGTATCAGGAGGGAGTTGTRGGTAAAGCTCAGTGGTATAATATGTGCTTTGTAGGCATAAGGTGTTGGGTTTGATTCTCAGGCACCACCTCTTTCCCACCCAAATGTGTGTGTGTGTATGTATATGTGTGAGTATAGATATATAAATTCATGTATATGTATATGTATATGCATGTATGTACATATGTGTGTGTATATAGATATCTAGTTCCTTTCGATGGACCTGTTTCCTTTAGATCATGCATTCCTCTTTTTTTCTTGCTTGATATTGTTTAAAAATGATAAGGTAATGTTTAGTGGTAATACAAGGTAGTTGAAAGAACTCTGGACTAAACAAGATAATTCGGAGAATCATTTAAGGTATTTGTTTGCATACCTTTCTCCTAGTACCTATCGTTCTTTTTWAAAAATTTTATTTATTTGTTTATTTTTTAAATACATGACAGCAGTGGAATGCATTACAATTCTTATTACACATATAGAGCACAACTATCCTTCTATAATATTATTATTATTGTTTATTTTTTCCTTCTACTAGTCACTTTCTTTTTTAAAATTCAATATTTTTAGTTGTACATAGACACAATACCTTTATTTAATTTATTTTTATGTGGTGCTGAGGATCGAACCCAATGCCTCACATGTGCTAAGCAAGCCCTCTATCACTGAGCTACAATCCCAACCTGACACCAAGTTTCTTGAGAAGAAGTCAGTTTAGTTTTTATTGTATCCTCAGCACTTAGCATCTTCCCTGGTATATATAATAGGAATACAATTTGTTGAATGAGAAAACATTTCAAAATGTGTGGTACAATATGTATATTGTCCCCTTGCCATTATTGGATATAGTTAGTCTTATTGATCTTTCAAAGATCTCTTCTAAGGCAGAATAAAATAGATGGATGGTAAATGTAGGTTGGATGAATATTTTCATACTTTTGTTTTTGACTGTAGGTAATCTTAAACTTAGAATTCCATGGAAAAACCTTTATACTCAACCATTTGAAGCTGTATTAGAAGATATTTATTTACTCATAGTGCCTTCTTCCAGTAAGTCAAATTTTAAAGTTTATAATTTACTCTTTTTTATAGATGGGAAAACATTTATGTTTTATAATTATATTTGTATAAAATATTTTGGGTGATATTTTGGAGATATTTTAATATATAAATTTGGTATATTACTTCAAATTTAATTGGCTTTTATTCTAAATTTTTGTAGATGATGAATTAGTGATTTTTTTTAAAGGTAAATATTATAATGAATATATTTAAATTTAAAGTATTTAGATTCTTCCTTTTAATGCTTCTATAGGAATAAAATATGATCCTTTAAAGGAAGAAAAACAACTCCTAGAAGCAAAGCAACAGGAATTAAAAAGAATAGAAGAAACAAAGCAAAAAGTAGTTGATCAAGGTAAAAAAAACAAACAAACCTAAAAGTACTATTAAGAAAGTGTAAAAAAACAAATATTTCTCATAATAGAATGTTTGTCTCTGGAGGCACTGAGATTATTTATTTAACAAATATGAGAGAATCTTATTACGTGGAGAATTTTAATATGGTTTGTATTTTGTCATGTATWCAAAATTTTTTACCTTGCAGAATTTATCTTAAGGCATAAATACTATGTCTGGTTTATAAGGATAAAGGTCAGTTTTTAATGGTAGCCATTAATTTTATCAAGTGTATTTTCTTACCTTTCTAGTCCATGCTTTTGTATTCTCCTTGTATCAATTATTTACATTTTTGAAGATACTTAGTATTTTGATATATTTATGTTTGCCATAGACTGTTTATTTGCTTTCTTACTTCACATCTTTTCCTATTCAAATTAGACCACATGGTCCATTATTACTGTAAGCCCYTTTTCAGTGGTATATGAGGTATCCTGCATCTCTTTATTTTCACTTACTTCCTAGTCAGCATCTCCAGCTACTTTTTACATGGTGACTCTTTGCTTCTTTCGCTAGTGGATTTTTCTTCTTAGTTTAAACATGYTGTAGCCTCTCCTTATTTTAAAAAATAAAGTCATCTACCTAAGCTAGTCCTTTGCTTATCTTTTACTCCTCTGTTATTCCTTGAACGCTAAGCATCTTTAAAATAAAGTATATATATACTTAACTATTCGTGCATTGATTGTTTTTAAATGAAAAGTGAACTCCAGAAATAAAATGTTTTACCTGTTGACAAACATTAGTGGAGATTTAGCATAATCTCTGGTAGTACCACATGTAAATCTATTTTCTTTGTCAAACTTTTTTCATATCCTCTATATAGTCATTCGTAGGCATTTTCTTTTTAAAATATTTATTTTATCAATACAATAAACAGTACATAACTTTAAAGCTAAATAGTACTATAGTACCCAAAGTTAAATAAACAAAACACTTCTCACTTAGCCATATACCCTACTCCCTAAAGAATTATCATATTGCTAAATAAGATATATTTCTATTACTTGATTTATTAAATTTAGACTGTGTGTGTGTATGTGTATAGTGTGTGTGTGAATGATATAGTGATGGGACTGTGAAGATTGACCAAGTAGTATAAATGTTTACCATTGAGCCAAATAGTATACTCTAATTACATAGATTTTCTTTTTTTTAAATTATTCTAATTTGTTATATATGAGCACAATTTTTWATATCTCTAGTTTTACACAAAGTAGAATCACACCATCTGTGTCTTCATACATGTACTTAGGGTAATGATGTCCATCTTCTTCTRTCGTCTTTCCTACCCCCATGCCTTCTACTTTCTCATCCCTCCCCTTTTCCCTATCTAGAGTTCATCTATCTTAAGGCATAAATAATATCCTTTATCCTTATAAACCCATGCCCTCCTCCAACTCCATTATGCATCAGTATCCTTATATTGGAGAAAACCTTTGGCACTTTTTGGTATTGGCTTACATCACTTAGYATAATATTCTCCAACTCCATCCATTTACCTGCAAATGCCATGATTTTATTCTCTATTAATGCTGAATAATATTTCATTGTGTATATATACCACATTTTCTTTATCCATTCATCTACTGAAGGGCATCTAGGTTRATTCTACAGTTTAGCTGTTGTGTTGTGTTGCTATAAACATTGATGTGGCTGTGTCCCTGTAGTATGCTGTTTTTAAAACCTTTGGGAATAGACCGAGGGGTGGGATAGCTGGGTCAAATGGTGGTTCCATTCCCAGTTTTCCAAGAAATCTCCATACTGCTTTCCATATTGGTAGCACCAATTTGCAGTCCCACCAGCAATGTATGAGTGTGCCTTTTCCCCCACATCCTCGCCAACACTTATTGTTGTTTGTATGCATAATAGCTGCCATTCTGACTGGAGTGAGATAAAGTCTTAGAGTAGTTTTGATTTGCATTTCTCTAATTGCTAGAGATGATGAACATTTTTTCATATATTTATTGATTGATTATATATCATCTTTTAGTRGTGTCTGTTCAGTTCCTTGGCCCATTGATTGATTGGGTTATTTCTTTTTTTGGTGTTTAGCTTTTTGAGTTCTTTATATACCCTAGGGATCAGTGGTCTTTGATGTGTGAGGGGTAAAAATTTGCTCCCAAGATATAGTCTCTCGATTCTTTTTTTGTTGAGAAGAAGCTTTTTAGTTTGAATCCATCCTATTAATTCTTGATTTTACTTCTTGTACTATAAGAGTCTTATTAAGGAAAGTGGAGCCTAATCTGACATGATGGAGATTTGGGCACAGTTTATCTGGTTTAATTCCTAGGTCCTTGATTCACTTTGAGTTTTGTGCATGTTGGGAGATAGGGTTTTAATTTCATTTTGTTGCATATGGATTTCTAGTTTTCCTAGCACCATTGTTGAAGAGGCTATCTTTTCTCCAATGTATGTTTTTGGCACCTTTGTCTATATAAGATAACTGTAATTATGTAGGTTAGTCTCTGTGTTCTCTATTTTGAACCATTGGTCTACAAATCTATTTTGGTGCCAATACCATGCTATTTTTGTTACTATTGCTCTGTAGTATTGTTTAAGGTCTGGTAAAGTGATGCCACCTGTTTCACTCTTCTTSATAAGGATAGCTTTAGTTATTCTGGGTCTCTTTATTTTTCCAGATAAATTTCATGACTGCTCTTTCTATTTCTAAAAGGAATGTCATTGGGATTTTGATTGGAATTGCCTTAAATCTGTATAGTGCTTTTGGCACTATAGTCATTTTGACAATATTAATTCTGCCTCTCCAAGAACAAGGCAGATCTTTTCATCTTCTAAGGTCTTCTTTAATTTCTTTAGTGTTCTATAGTTTTCATTGTAGAGGTCTTTCACTTCTTTTGTTAGGTTGATTTCCAAGTATTTTATTTGTTTTGAGGCTATTATAAATGGGTAATTTTCCTTTCAGAGGATTTGTATATCAGATATACAGAAATGCCTTTGTTTAATGGGTATTGATTTTGTATCCTGTTACTTTGCTGAATTCATTTACTAGTTCTAGAAGTTTTCTGGTGGAATTTTTTGGGTCTTCTATGTATACAATCATCATTAGCATAGTGCTGATTTGAATTCTTCTTTTCCTATCCATATCCATTTAATTTCTTTCATCTGTCTAATTGCTGTGGCCAGTGTTTTAAGAATTGTGTTAAATAGAAATGGTGAAAGAGGGCATATCTGTCTTTTTCCAGTTTTTAGAGGGAATACTTTCAATTTTTCTCAATTTAGAATGATGTTGGCCTGGGGCTTTGCATAGATGGCTTTTACAAAATGTCAAGATATGTGCCTGTTTTTCCCTGGTTTTTCTAGTGTTCTGAACATGAAGGGGTGCTGTATTTGACAAATGCTTTTTTTTCTGCATTGATTATCATTAGATAAAATCATATGATTCTTATCTTTAAGTATCTTGATGTGATGAGTTACATTTATTCATTTCCACATGTTGAACCAAACTTGTATCCCTGGAGTGAACCCCTTGTGATCATGGTGCACTATCTTTTTGATATGTTTTAATTTGATTTGTCAGAACTTATTGAGAATTTTTGCATGTATGTTCATTAGTGAAATTGGTTTGAAGTTTTCTTTCTTTGATGTGTCTTTGCCTGGTTTTGGAATCAGGGTGACATTGGCCTCATAGGATGAGTTTGGAAGTGCTGCCTCTTTTTCTATTTCCTGAAATAAATTGGAGAGTGTTGGTATTAGTTCTTCTTCAAAGGTCTTGTAGAACTCGGATGTGTATCCATCTGGTCCTGGACTTTTCTTGGTTGGTAGGCTTCTGATGGCATCTTCTATTTCATCATTTAAAATTGATAAATTTAAATTGTGTATATCATTCTGATTCAATTTGTGCAAATCATATGACTYTATAAATTTGTCGATGCCTTTAGTATTTTCTATTTTATTGGAATATAAGTTTTCAAAATAATTTCTAATTATCTTCTGTATTTTTGTAGTGTCTGTTGTGATATTACCTTTTTCATCATGTATGTTAGTGATTTGAGTTTTCTCTCTCCTTCTCTTCATTAGCATGGCTAAGGGTCTGTCAATTTTATATATTTTTTTTCAAAGAAGCAACTTTTTGTCAATTTTTTCAGTTGTTTCTTTTGTTTCACTTTCGTGGATTTCAGCTCTGATTTTAATTATTTTCTGTCTTCTGCTTTTGGGGAGTTTTTTTTGTTGTTGTTGTTCCTTTTTGATCTAGGGCTTTGAGATGTAATGTTAGTTTATTTATTTGTTGACTCTTTCTTCTTTTAAGGAATGAACTCCATGCAATGAACTTTCCTCTTAATACTGCCTTCATAGTGTCCCAGAGATTTTGATATGTTGTATCAGTGTTCTCATTTATCTCTAAGAATTTTTGAATCTCCTCCTTGCTGTCTTTTGCAACCCTTTGTTCATTCAGTAGCATATTACTTAGTCTCCATGTGTTGGAGTAGCTTTTATTTTTATTTTATCATTGATTTGTAATTTTGTTTCATTATGATCTGATAGAAAGCAGGATAGTATCTCTACTTTTTTGTATTTGCTAAGAGTTTCTTTGTGGCATAATACATGATCTAGTATAGAGAAGGAACCATGTGCTGCTGAGAAGAAAGTGTATTCGCTTGTTGAAGGATGAAATATTCTATATATATGTCAGGTCTAAGTTAYTGATTGYATTATTGAGTTCTATAGTTTCTTTTGTTTGGAAGATCTATCTAGTGGTGGACGTGGTGTATTAAAGTCACCCAAAATTATTGTGTTATGGTCTGTTTGATTATTGAACTTGAGAAGAGTTTGATGAATGTAGATGCTCCATTGTTTGGGGAATATATTTTTATAATTGTTAAGTCTTGTTGGTGTATAGTTCCCTTGAGCAGTATGAAATATCCTTCTTTCTCCCTTTTGATTAACTTTAGCTTGAAGTCTACTTTATTTGATATGAAGATGGAAACCCCTGCTTGCTTC